TGAGGATTTGCGATGGCTGTATCAGCATTGTCATGATATTTCTGGTGTCACGGCGACCTCTCGGAGAGGGGTGGCGTAGCGGCAGTCGTTACTGAACGCCCTCCCTCAGAAAGAGAGGATGGCGGCGCTGTTGGCACGGGTGCAAGCCCGAGAGGCGGCAACCCAGGCTGCCAGCGCCTCGTCCACAGGCACGGCAGTATAAACATGGACTGGCCCCAAGGGAGGGGGGAAACCATAGGGAACTCCACTGGAGGCCCCAGTGGCAGCGTCCACGCGCGGCCGCCCCACCCAGTTCGGCACGCCCCTCACACGCTGTGTGACACCATAGGGGGCTCCAACGATGGCCCCAGTGGCGGTGTCCACAGGCGGCCGCCCCACCCATTTCGGCACACCCATCGGGAGCTTCAGCTAAGGCCCCACTGGCGGTGTCCTCAGGCGGCCGCCCCACCCATTTCGGCACATCCATCGGGCGCCACGACGGATTCCAGCAGCCACCGCGACCAGTAACAACCACACCACGACCACGAGCAGCCTCCACGACCAGAAACTGCGACAACGACCACGACCAGATTGAAGCAGCCAACCATGACCACGAACAACCACCACGACCACGAACAGCCACCGCCACCCGAGACACTCCGGGCCCGGGGCCATTGCACAGTTTTTTTTTCGGCTACGTTCGAATGACACTGCCTCGGTCGCAATTGCGAGGCTTCTGACGCGTGCCGATGGAATAAAGAGCAAGGAAGCCCAGCCACTTCGCTACGGCCCCCGACAAGCCAGTCGACACACCCCCTTCATTCGGCACCCCACTCCAGACGCCAGCATTCGATCACAGCCCTCCACCAGCTTCGCAGCAAGAGCTCCAACCCCCAGCAGCGGCACGAACGCGACCAACATCAGTTCCAGGGATACGACACAGCTCCGATACTGGCACCGACGGTAGCGACAACGCCTGCGCATATGCTCTTACCTGGTTCGACTTTGTTGCGTCTGGCTTGGGCTGATCGTCGCCCAGACATTTACGACCACCGCCTACACCAGCTCCGACGCCGGCACCGACGCTTGCACCAACGCCGGCCCCAACGCTGGCGCCAACGCCAGATCCTGCCGGTCACGTGGCAACGATGCAGACATCGGCGCTTGCGCCACGTTGTGCTCGGAGTACGCTTTTATTCAGACGGCAGTGGGACCAGAAGTGCTCGGGGTACAGCTTCGGGAAGCACGGCTCGGCGCAGGATTGCTCTGCGCAGAAACAAGGGGCCATCCAGGAGTGGCGCAAGCTGTAGGACCTGCCCACGTGGGAGCAGTGCAAGTGAGGAGCAGAAAGCCGGATTCCAGCATCGCCGCTTGGGGCAGCACGACGGCTTTCAGCAACACCATCGTGAGCAGCACGACGGACTTGGCATCCAGCAGTACCATTGCGAGCGCCACGACGGATTCCAGCAACCACCGCGACCAGTAACAACCACCACGACCACGAGCAGCCACCACGACCAGAAATTGCGACAACGACCACGACCAGATTGAAGCAGCCAACCATGACCACGAACAACCACCACGACCACAACCTGCCACCACGACCACGAACAGCCACGGCGACCATAACAGCCACCGTGGCCAGATATAAGCACCACATCCACGAACAGCCACCGCCACCCGAGACACTCCCGGCCCGGGGCCATTGCTCAGTTTTTTGTTCGGCCACATTCGCAGGACACCGCCTCGGTCGCAATTGCGAGGCTTCTGACGCGTACCGATGGAATAAAGAGCAAGGAAGCCCAGTCACGTCGCTGCGGCCCCCGACTGGCCAGTCGACACACTGACTTATCTCCCCCTTCATTCGGCCCCCAGGACTTCCTGGAGGCTTGGGCCGAGGGAAAAAGGCAACACATTGTTGCGGCGACTTCGGGCTCAGCGCGCACGACTCGCAGCAGCGCCTTCGCATCCAGGAACACCAGAGTGATCCGTGCTGCGTCGACGAACACGGCCATTCTGTACGCGGCTGCACGTTGGTGACCGCAGCAAGTTCGAGTCGTCCTCTGCTTCGGGGGGGCACGGTTTGTCCGCCCCATTGGTGCCGACAGGATGCACCAGCACAATGTCAGAACGCGCAGCACTTAGGAATTCCAGTGGTTGCACGCGCGTGTCAGGACACCGATCGGATTCACCGCGGCAGCGGCGCGAGACGGTAAAGTAGTCGGCGCCTACGTCGGCACAACCATCGTCGCCTACGCCAGCATCGACGCCAGCACCGTCGCCAGCCACCACGCTGGCGATTTCGCCGGCACCGACTTCAGCGGCTACGGCATGGTCGACGCCAGCACGGGGCGGCTGCGCGAATTCCGGCGCCTGCACTGACACCAACGATAGCGCCTACGACAGAACCGGTGTCATCACCGACGCGAGCAACAACCTCGGCGCCTACGCCAGCACCGGCGCCAGCACCGACGTCAGCATAAATGCTTGCGATGGAACTTGCGCCAACAACGGTGCCGTCGCCAGTGCCGTCGCCTACATTGACGACAGCACGAATGCCAGCGCCTGCATGGGCACCAACATCGGCGCTGAGTTACACCAGCACCGATGTCACCACCGACATCAGCAACAACACTCTCGCCTACAACAGCACCGACGCCAACATGAGCATCTACGATGGCACCCGCATCGACGCCAGCGCCGCCGCCAGCACTGACTCGGGCACGTACATCAGCATGGACACTACAGACATCAGCATGGACTCTAGCATCGATCGTGTTGGCTCCGTTTGTGCAGAAACGTGGGGCTCGTTCCGCTTAACGCGTCATGGAAGGAGGACGGGGAGCAGTTCGGCGGGGACAAGTGCACCAGTGAGCGCAATATGTTGTTTTTCCTGTCTTGTCCATCCGGTGTGCACAGGCTACTGTTTTTCCAGTTTTCCCTTTCCTTTCCCCCTCCCCTCCCTTCCTTCTCCCCCGCCCCCCCCCCCCTGGGACCCTTGTACGGTATGTTTTTTTTGCGGTGCGCGTGTATGATCCAGGCACTCCCGCCGGGTCGGCCGCTGTTACTCAGCGAGCCTCCAGCGACCGCCGGTTGGAGCCCCCTTTGTGGTATATTTGTTCGTTTGTTGTTTTGTCCGCTGCCCAGCTCCACTCCTTCCTCCCCCGCCCCTCTCCTCAGCTGTCTGGTGTCACTCACTTGGTCGCTCTCCCCCGTATGGGTCGCGACCGCTTCGACAATCTGCGTGCTCAGTGCACTAAGCTTGGCGAGACGAATCTGGGCAATTTTGGTATCGACCTTCACTCTTCTCCTCCTCCTCCTCCTCCTCCTCCTCCTCCTCCTCCTCGTCGTGCTCGCTCCCTGTTCGAACGGGGTCCAGGTTTCGAGTGCTAGGATTGGCATCTTTTGCGTGGGGCGCAGTGCGGTTGGCCCAACTTCTCGCACGCTGTGCGTTGCTCTTCGCCGTCGGCTTTCGTCTGATGGGGTGGTTGCCACGGGAGCCTGGTCGTTCATTCGTCTTCGCCGCCCGAGGTCCTGAGCACTCACTGGGACCCCCGAGATCTCTAAGAGGCAAACAAAAGTCTGCACACCCATCGGGAGCTCCAGCTAAGGCCCCAGTGGCGGTGTCCGCAGGCGGCCGCCCCACCCATGTCGACACACCCATCACCCGTTTTGTCCAACAAAGACCCCAATGGCGGTGTCACAGGCGGCCGCCCCACCCATTGCGGCACGCCCTCACACGGTTCGTGACATCATAGGGGGGCTCCGACGAAGGCCCCAGTGGCGGCGCCCACATGCGCCCGCCCCACCCATTTCGGCACACCCTTCACACGCTGCGTGATCCCATCGGGAACTCCACCGAAGGACCCTGCGGCAGTGTCCCCAGGCAGCCGCTCCACCCATTTCGACACACCCCTTAACGTTTCGTGGCCCCTCACGGGGATCCACCGAAGACCCCAGTGGCGGTGCCCACATGCGGCCGCCCCACCCATTTCGGCACACCCATTACCCGTTTCGTGACATCATAGGAGGTTCCAGCTAAGGCCCCAGTGGCGGTGTCCTCAGGCGGCCGCCCCACCTCTTTTCGGCGCACCCCACCCCATAGGGAGCCTCACTGAAGCCCCAGTGGCGGTGTCCAAAGGCAGCAGCCCCGCTCATTTCGGCAGGCCCCTCACACGTTTCGACAGAAAGCCCCAGTGGCGGTGTCTGTAGTACCTATGTCGGCACACCCCTCAAACGTTTCGTGGCCTCATAGGGAGCTCCATCGAACGCGATACTCACAGCGACGGTCCTCGAAATTGTGTATACTTGGGTTCTTCGCCAGGATGATTTGTTATCCACCCTCGCACTGTGGATGTTAAATTGTGCGGTTCGCGTCGCATTATACCCACCATCAGAATTGACGCGCGAGCTCTGATGCACGGGTGCTTCGGCACGTTGTTGGACGCAGCCGGATTAAGTTTATGACAAGAATGTGAGTTTGTTCTTCAGGAGGAGTGGCATGCTGTTTTCGCGTGGTTATTTGTTGCTCGTGGTTTCGGCAGGTTGTGTCAGCAGTTTGTAGAGGTGTCTTGCTTATGGCAATAAGGCGCTTCCATTGATGTGCAGTCGAGATGATATGTTCGGATGATGCAGTGTGTGTGTGCACCAGCAGTACTGGCTCGGCTCAGAGTCTTGGGTTGTTCACTGCGTTGAGCAGTCTGCCCTCGTTGTCACGGGGTGATATGTTTGTTATTTCGTCGGGGATGTGCCAATTGTTCGTGGGCTCAGACTGAGAGCTTGCAGCTCAGCAAAAACATATAAACACAACAGATTTCGCGGCGACTTGGCCCTGAGTGGTGGGAGTAGCATTGTGCGGGTGTACTTCTGGCTTAACGCGTGTGCGGTTGGGTGGGCGGGGGCGCCCCTCCCTTCCCCCAGAGAGAATGGGGGGCGGCGGGAGGAGGAGGAGGGAGGAGTAAGAGGAGGAAGAGCAGGGGATTCCTGTCCCCAGGGAGCTCGACGTCGCGCTCGCCGGGAAGGCCTCGCAGCTGCCCGCGACCCCAGAAGAGGCGCGGCAGGGGAGGCTGGAGGGGAGGGAGGGAGGGAGGGGAGACCCAGGCCTCCCATATGGGCCGCCAGTTTTTCCTGATGATCGAGTGATCGAGGGTCGATGAGGCTTTTGGACGATCTTGGCGTCTTGGATGTTTCAGGAAGGTTTCGAGTTTAGAGGGCTCTTCCTCCTCCTCCTCGAGGAGGTGGCGACTCCCCTTGTGGTGACCACCCTTGGCGCTCCCTGGAGAGCATCGCTAACGGGAGCCTCATCGTGGCCACAACTGGGTACCCTTCGAAGTTCCTGTCGGACCGCACCCAGGGACAGTTCTGGGGTTGAGTTTCGAACATCGCGCTGAGGCCCCCTCCCGTCGTATTAACATATCGCGGCCCGAGGAGTTTGCCGTTTTCGGCCTCGAGGCCGGGCCCCAGGACCGTCAAATGAATCGGTTCGGGATGAAACCGTTGCCCCAGGGAAGGGTTCCAGACCTCTGGGTGTTCCAGGTTGCGGGGAAATCACGACGTCGGGGGTCTGGGTCGATGAGTGTTAGCTTAGCACTTAGTGGTCCAGACCCCGACTAAGGGTTTTTAGGAGCTTCTATGGCGTTTTGGGAGGAGGGGAAGGGGAGGAATGGAGGGAGGCATTGAAAAGGGCTACGGGCTTTCGGCAATTCCTGGAGGATGGGGAAGAGAGGTGAGGAAGTGAGGGAGTGAGACAGGGAGAGAGGGAGGAGGAGTGGGAGAATGACGGAGGGAGGGACAGGAACTTTTGATACGGGAGCATCTTTCCATGTTGGGGTCCTCTTGGGGCCAGTCTTTAGGGCCATCTTGGGGGTCGTCGTGGGGCCATCTCCGAGGACATCGATGACCGAAAGGGTGTGGCCTCATGGCCTCGCCATCTTGCGGGCGAAAGTCGCACATTACGGCCCCCTCGGGGCATTACGTGTTGGGGCCATGTTGGAAATATCTTCGGGCCCTCCTGGTGCTCTCTTCGGCCCTTGAGGCCCGAGAAGCCCCTCGGCACCGAAAAGGCGAGACTGCAGCAAACTGTGCTCTTGTTTTACTGCGTTGGACGGATTCTGGTCTAGGGGGCGGCCTGGGGAAGCTCCATGGGCAATTGGAGCCGTCTTGGAGCGGTCTTGGCACCTCTTGGAGGCATCTTGGAGGACATCTTGAGCCATCCTGGACCTTCCTGCGCCATCTTGGGGGCTATGTTTATCTATCTGAGGCCATATTGGAGCCATGTTGGCCCGACAGCCTCCCAAGGATTCCCCCGAGATGCCAACATATTTTAACAACCATACGGTGCATTTCCCAATCAATGCTTGCACTGAAGGGTTTCTTACTTGGCCTACTTGGGATAATTTGTTGGGTGTGCTGGCGTTTCGGCTGGTGCACTGTTAGTGGGCGCCCGTGGGCGCCTCGTGGGGGCCTCGTGGCAGTGATTTCGCCTGGTGCCCACCCGTGGACCTTCGTGGGCGCCTCGTGCGTGTGTGTGCATCGAGGTTTCGCCTGGTGCCCGCCCGTGGGCGCCTGGTGAGCGCCTCGGGCGCTGGGTGGGTGTGCCGACGTTTCGTCTGGTGCTCGCCAGTGGGCGCCTGGTGGGCGCCTCGTGTCCTGGGCGGGTGTGCCGCGGCTTCGCTTGGAGCCCGCCCGTGGCCGCCCGCGGGCGCGTCGTTTGCGCCCTGTGCGCTGGGTGGCCGCATACAGTTCGAAATGGATTCCGCGCTCGCGTCGGGCCCGCATTCTTTGCGGCGCCTTTACCAGGGTTCTACTGGTACTGTCTGCCTGCGCCGCCCCAAATCCTACATGTTTGTGTGTTTCTTTGTTTCGAGGTTGCGTTCTGTCTGACTTCAATGTTCGATGTTCTGTCTCGCAAAGCGTTGCCATCGTGACATGGCGCGCGCGCGCCAAGCATTCGGCTTATCACTGCGGTCGCCGGTTGCCGAGGGATTCCCGGTACTTTGAGACCTCTGTGGGACGCTCGGGTGTGTTCGGCGCCGAGGAGTTCGTGGCGCCTTGACATTTTGTGAGTGCTTGTGAGACGCAAAGCTTGTCTCGGCGCCGATGGGTTCGCGGCGCTCTGAAATCTGTGGACCCACGTGAGACGCGTGGAGGTGCTCGGCGCCAAAGGCTTCGTGGCACTTTGAGGCCGCGCGAGACGCGCGGTTGCGCTCGGCACCGAGGGTTTTATGACACCTGGAGACTGCGCAAGACTTGTGGATGTGACCTGCGCCGAGGGGTTCGGGGCACGGTGAGACCCTTTGTGACCGTCGGTTCGGCGGTGCGCGCAGCGCCCGGTGTGACTGCATGGGGCCGTCTTGGACATGATGCGCATACAAATGCCATCTTCCGGAAAGGGCGCATTTCCATGTCCATGTTTCGTCGCAGAATACATCTCTCAGTTCGAGATACAGATTTGAAAATGGATTACGCCTCCGCGTCGGTCCCGCAGTATTGGCGGTGCCTTCACCAGGTCCCATTGGTACTTCACCCAACTTCCACTGGTTTGCCAAGGGCTTCGCGGCACTTTTTTGAGAGCCTGAGCGGCGCGTGGGTGTGCTCTGCGCCGAGAGTGTCGTGGCTCTTTGAGTCCAGGTGAGGCGAGTGGATGTGCTCGGCGCCGCGGGCTTCGTGGTATGTTGGGGCCGCGCGAGACGCGCGGGTGCGCTCGGCACCGAGGGTTTCGTGGCTCCTTGAAGCCGCGCAGGACTTCCGGATGTGCTCTGGGCCGAGGGTTCGCGGCAGCGTGACATTGTTTGATGCGTTTTGGGATCGCTTGAGACCGCTTGCGGCTACCATCGGGCTTTATCTGGTGCTCGACTTCGTATCACGCATGCAGATTTTGAGATCCATCCCGACATTCACCCGTTCTATTTCTCAATTGGTTGTCGGAGGGTTTCACGGGGTGGTTGGAGCAAGGAGGGGGGAACCGCCCTGGCGCACCAAGCGTCGCATAATGTTCGTCAACTGGTTGGCCCGCGTCGGTTTGGCGTGCGTGCAGCGCCCGGTGTGGCTGCATAGGGCGGTCTTGGATATGATGCGCACACATTTGCCATATTCTGAAACGTGCACACTTCAAGTCTTATTGTTTCGCAGAATGTCGATTGCACGAGTGCGTTCCATCACGTAGTTTTTCCCCGCAGGGTTTGCATCACACAGCTTGCACCACCCAGCCTGCACCACATCTATTGCACCGCGAAGCCTTCACCAGATTGCTCACACCACGTAGCTTGCACCGCATAGCTTGCACCACAAAGCTCGCACCACACAGCGTACACGGAACACCACATAGCTTGTTCCACATAGATTGCGCCGCGCAGCGTGCACCACGTACATTGTGCCGAACAGCTTACACTACATAGTTTGCACAACATAGCTTACAAATGCGAATTGGTATGACGTACTGTTTAGCTGGTGCGAATGTATGGCATGGGCGGTAATGTGTGGCGGAGTGTTGGAGTCCGCCCCGCCCTGCCCATGCCTTTATTCTTTGGGACCGTACGGCATGCGCGGGCATGTGCGGGGGGGGAGGGGGCGGTGTCGTCCGCACTGCACCGCGCAACCGTGCACAGGTGTGGGTGTGCACCAACTGTGCTGCATTCGCGGTCAGAAATTTCAAAAATCAGAGGCAGCAGCGTGGAATGGGGATTCCCCGCTGCAATGTCCCGGCGGAGAGCCGCGTCCTCGTCCTCCTTATCTTCCTCGCCCTCCTCCTCCTCCTTCTCCTCACCCTCGTCTTCCTCATCGGCCTCCCCCTGCTCTTTCACAACCTCCTGGCCCTGCATACTCCTATCGAGCCATCGGGTCCCCTCCTCCATCGGCGCCTGCTCCGACAACCCCCTGGAACACGACCACCGCCGCATCCCCCTTCTCATCCTCGTCGTCGTCGTCGTCCTCCTCCTCCTCCTCTTCCTGGCCATCCTGCCCATCCTCTTCTTCCCGCTGTCTCTCTCGTCCTCCTCTTCCTCTCCCTCCTCGCCCTGGCGAGGGGTGCTGTTGGTCAAGGCTGCCCACACCCGAACCCCACGTCACAGAGTGAGCCACTTTCGCTACACTCACGTGTTCTCGCTCTGGGCGCAGGCCCTCCTCGTTCTTTGCTTCCGCGCCGCAGGGGCGCCCTCCTCTGTCTGTGCGCCGCTTCTCATCGAGCCATGGCGCGGCCCCCTGAGGCCGCCAGGAGCGACGCCCCTGCGCCCGCGGCCGCGGCTGGCCCCAGTGCCGAGCCCAAGTCGGCTCGTGGCGCCACTGCCGCCGAGTCGCGCAGGGCACCGCTGCGCGAACGTCGCTCTCGTTCCCAGCGCCCTGCAGAGCACCCCGCAGCGGAGCAGCAGCAGGGCGGCATGTTCAAGTCCGACGACGACAGCCGCATGCTCGAGGCGATGCCCACGTTCCCTTCACAGGAGCAGCGTGGACCTGCCGTGGTGCATGCGCCGCTGGCGGCCGCCCTCGGGGCATCGTGCACCACCTCTGGGCCTGCCACCGCCGCTTCCTCGGCCAACGGCAACCTCGCCGCTGGCGCGGACCCCTGGCAGCGGCCTGGCGGCGCCGACCCCTGGCGGCCCGCGACTGGTGGCACTGGTGCTGCCATTCCCGATGACCTCGAGAAGCAGTTCGAGAAGCTCTTCGAGAAGCAGATGGCCACAGCAGCAGCACAGATGCAGAAGGTCTGCACCGACACCCTCGAGAAGGCTCAGACGGATTTCATGGATAGTATGCGCACTTGCCTCGCCCACATACGACACGCCAGTCAACGCATCGATCATCGAGCACACTTGCTCGCGGACATCCAGCAGCGCCAGCGCGTGCAAGAGCAGGAGCAGGACCGCATCCGCGACGTCGTGGCGAGGCTCGAGCACACGATTGCTCTCGCCGAGGCTGAGGCCCCCGCCTTCGACACCGCCAAGCTCGCCGAGTGGGGGCGCTCTGCGTACCCAGCGCTCTTCACAGTGGGCGCGCCGTCTGCAATCGCCCCCCAGGAGGTTGTGCGCAGCATCCAGCAGTGGCTCGCGGACGCGGG